CAATCTTTATCGAGAAATTTTTGTTTTTCTTATTATCATACAAAAAGTACACGCATATGCAAGCAAAATAATGTTGTTTTTTTCACTCTCTAAAATTTTCATACAAAAAATATGTCAATACTTTACATTATGAAGAAAAATCAAAAGACAAAGTCAAAAAAGTAAAAGAAAATAAAAAAACTAGTTATGTTTGTTTTTGCTCACGTAAGATCATTGAATAACGTAGTGTTGATGGTGCCAAATTCGATCTGTTTTTACGTTGTAAAAATCCTGCAATGCTAAATGCACTCTCACAATCGATGGCAGTTGCACACATTATATTGTATCGACGTGCAATTGAAGATAAAATTGGTAATTGTTGTTGGTTCTCATCCCAATATTCACTAAAAGTTTTATATTGATTCAATGTTGCAATATAACGAGCAATTTCTTCTTTTATATTTGATGGCTTCAAGGTCAGAGTTGTTGTTTTTATATTTACTGATAAACCACAAGCAATAAATAAATTATCCAACGTATTGGATTGATTCTCTGGTTGATTTTTATTTGATGATGTGTTCGATAATGAGGAGGAATTTGTCGATGACAATGATCGTGAATTTATTTTTGCATAATGTTCCATGGCTTCATTCGATATAATCGCTTCAGCTTCTTTTTTATCATCACATGTTAAATATCGATAAGTTGTTGGATCAAGAAATGATGCTATCTTCAAGAAAACGACAGAAATAGAAAAATCAAGATTTCATACGAGCAACAATCTTTCACAGGCAACACTTATCTATGCTGAATACATTATGTAATTCTTTTTTATCAAGAGCGTTATATTCCTACTATCATGCAAAACATTCAGCTATTTCTATAGCTCAGTGGGGAGAATCGGATTTTTTAAGTTTAAAGTAAGATTTTGATGTGAAGAATACGGAAAAATAAAACGATATCTGATAATCAAGTCTATGGCAATTTCTGTAGGTATAGATAGGCATGAGAATTTATTGTTATTAATAACAATAACTTTTTTTGTTATTTGTTATAAATAACAGATAAATAACAAATAACTTTTTTTTCTGGAAAAAGTTCTGTCTCACGTTGCTGTATATCTTAATTGCACCCGTTATTTATGCTTATGGTTCAGAACGAATTTCTAACTTCTATAGTGCTAACTCATATGGTATAATCACGATAGACAGTGAGTTGAGTTTTTAGAAAAAAAAGTTATTTGTTATTTATCTGTTATTTATAACAAATAACTATAGAAAAAAAAGTTATTGTTATTTATAACAACAAGATAACAATAACTTCTCACCCCCTAGGTATAGATAAAGGAGAAACATATTTCAAAAATATGCATTAAAGCCAAGGAACGAACAGCTGAATTAATGACACTTAAAGATCTATATAGGCCATTCTATCGCTCTTGGATCAGACCAAAAAAGTCCTTGATGCTAAGTGAAAGAATGTATTTCTAATTTTTCTTTATGTTCAAATGAGTCAGATTTTTCTCTTCTCTCTTTTCTTTCAGGTTGTCATTTTATACGTACTAAAGTTGCTTTTGCTTGTTCATCACCAACATGTTTTTCTAGATAAAATTTAAACATAATTGATAGTTGTTTCTTGAACAAAACCTCTAATGTTAATAAATCATCATCACTAGTTGTTAAAAAATTTGTTAAAGCAACCATGATGGCTTTATTACTTGATAAATTTGGTCGTTGACGACTTGAAAGTATTTTTGTTGAATGATTGAAAGGAGAAAGTACAGCTTCAAGTGATCTACATATTGCCCAATCAAGAGATGTAAAAGACAACTTCTTCAATTTTCGATATTGACGTGGTGTTAAATTCATTCGTTTAGACGGATCATGGGTTAATGAGATGATGACTGATTCATAAAATAAGAATCGAGATAACATAGCAAATGTAGAAGACCATCTGATCTTCATATCAAGTGTCATTTCTTTGAATTTTATTTTCTTCTTGGTTGGATCATTAATTGCAATTGTACGATTATATTTTTCGATTTTTAATTTAATTTCTTTAGTAACATAACGGTGCAACACACTTGATCGATGTATAAATGTAACTAAGTTACGAATACGTTTAAGAATAAAATGAACTTTTGTCAATAAAATTGTTGGATCAAGATATGATTGATAAAGAAATTTGTCTTCCTCTTCTTCGATTATTGATGGTAATAATGGTGCATTTATATCATCATCACTAGTATCATTTTCTAAAGATGACAATTCTGATCCATTGTCTAATGATGAGATTGTTGTTGATGCAGTACTAGATGATTTATCAAGATCATTGTGTTCGGATGAAATGTTACTAGCATTATCATCACTAACTTCATCCGAAACTTTATCAACATCTATTGTTGAATCATAATCATTATCTTCTAATAATGAATCCGTGTATGTAACTGATGTTGCATTGGAGTTGGTGGAATTCGATGCTGATGCTGTTGTATTGGATTTGGTGAAATTTGTTGCTGATGTTGTTGTTATACTATTTAACAGAGAATAGAAGACATGCATTTTAAATATACGAGATGTTCAACTACGAAAACTCCTCCGTGTTCAAGCAATCGAACTGGAGCTATTTCTTAACTTCAGTCTACAGTAGGTGAGAAATAGAAGGTACCTTTTAAATATTCTTATAGTATTTACTTAGAAAACGTTAAATAAGTTTAATTATGTCTTAATCATTTCGTTCAAAGTGGAACAAGCAAAAGTGTTTCTACTTACAAATAGTGAAATCACAGGCAAATGATTTCAATGTTTTTCTTCAAAAAATAAGTGGAAGCTAGAAAAAGTCTTTGTGACGAAGTTCATGACTACTCTCTCTCTCTCGAGTGTGGATCCGAGTATTTGCTAAACTACAATAAATATTCATTCATCCAATTATTCTCTGTTTTCTCTCATTTCTTCAAGGCACCCGTTCATTCACTAACCGTAAGTGAATAAATTAACGCTCAATAGACTGCTTCATGAAAGTCTCTTTTAGCTTTGTATTAAAATTTGGTGAATTGAATAGAAGGAAAGTTTTGAGACATTGATGAAAATCCTAATATGATAAAACGAAAGCTATTTGAATAAATCAACTATGAAATAAGCAGTTTTGGCGTTAAAACTCTCTTGTATATAGATTTTATTGATTTCAATGATCTTTTCTTGCATCCTGAAGAAAATTTCATATTTTAATTCAGTTTAATATGATTCGATTATGTTTAGACAGAACTAATATTAAACAAATTTTTATCATTTAATTATATGTTTCTTCTTTGACAGACATAAAAAAAATGAATAAATTTTGAAAACTATTATTTTATACGTAGATTATTAAATAAAGGTTCTTATGAACCTTCTACTATGCCATTTTCTCTATAGACGAAACGCAAGTTTAGTTGCGGTAACACTATATGAAAGATTTGAATCAATTATAGACGTAAAACACATTCGGCTAGCAAAAATATCGATATTTATCTGCATCTTGTAATGCAATTGATGTAAATGTCTAAATATAGCAACACTCAATAAGACTAACTTTTTACTGATGCGCAACAAAATTCTAAACTTGTTTAAAAATCTATTAGCGTCAAAAATCATGATGGTATAAAATTTTTTTGATTATTTATATTATGCAAAAAAAATGATTCTAATATCATTATCCATTTTTCCTATTATCTCATGTCTCTGCCTGCATATTTTCTGTAAATAAACGATCTCCTACCTTTTTTTTACTGGTATATCAAAGAACCAAAGTCCATTACGAACAACCAAGTTTAAAATGTGTAAGAAACAGGAAATTCTTATTCCAAATTTTGATTTGTTTTGTGATGCTAATCGTATATCACTTCCATTATCTGTTGTTAAAGAACATATTTTTGATTGTATACCAAGCTTTTCCATTTCATTAATTATAAAATCTTCAAGTCGATCACCAGAATGAGTGCCAATGAATCTTCGAAATGAAATAATACTAAAATGTGGTTTGTAGTGTTTATCATAATAATGAGCAGATAAACATATGAAATGGGCACGACGAACACTTTGCCAAAGATCGACTGATAAAGCAATATCGGAAACAATAGATAATTCTTGTCGAATTGATGATCGACGTTGTTTATACATAGATTTTAAACGTTTAACAACTGTTCGTCTATTTGGACCACGATAACCAGGTGTAGCCAATGACAGAAACTTTTTCATGCCAGGTTTTCGAAAGAGATTAAAGATATGAGAATCTTGTATAATTGCATTAATAGCAGCTGAATCTAGATTGTTTTCATGTTGAAAAGATATTTTTTGTTCTTTTAATGGTTTTTGATTTCGCTGAGAAGGATAAAGAAACTCTTCAAGTTTATGAATATGTCCTAAATGACTTCGTAAATTTGAATCGGATGATGCACTTTTTGCTGGAAATAGCTGAAAAAAAAAAGAAAAACCAACAAGGTAGAATTCTATAATTACTCCTCCCAAGCGAAATATATTTTTCGAAATAAATCTGTATAAGTTTAAGCCAGAACTCAAATTATATAATCATATTCAAAACCAATTGCCGTATTAGATATGCAGCCTATTGTTTTTTCAGATGTTTTACCACCAAGAAAAAGGTATTAAACTATTTCCTACGTCGTCATTTACGATCATCCGCTCGGCTCTTTAAACGAAACTAGCTTTGATTGACTGATCATATACGAAGGCAAATAATGTTGATAGTTATTTAACGACATATTATTTTGAATGAATTTAAAGTAAAACTCATCTAATAAAAGGAAACATAAGATCAGTAATTTTTTTTGATATATACTGTAGTTTGTTTCTCTGCAAAACTAACAGTTATATTGAATACGTTTTTCTTTGCTAACCAAAGGCTTTCGTAGAAATCTTTTGTCTATTGCGAAATCTATTTTCCAAAAAAATCAAATCTACGCCGACGTTCACTCTTATCTGCGTAGAAGTTCGCTAAATACTGCATAAAAATATCCTATGTTTGAATCACTGTTCGTTAAAAAGAGAAAATTCTCAAGAGAAATTCAACAGTTTTTCATCCGCTCTCAATAATGCATTGAATACTATCAGTTTTGGGTTTAGTCGAAAGTTAGTTTTCCGCAAGAAATAAGATATTCATATACTTCATTTATTTATGATTTCGATCCAATAGATGGTTTCAAACTAGTTTAAGGTATGAATCTTTCTTTCAAAGTTACTCAAATGAACAACTGTTCTTGCTTTTGTACTGATATCCACTAAAAAGCTGTTAATGTGATTCCTGTGGGTTTAAAATGTGAAACACAATCGAGCTACTTATTTACATTGAAAATCAAGAAATACTGTGATGTCTGTTATGGTTTGTGATGGGAAGGGAGAGAAGAGCGACTATTTCCAACGATTCTGACAAGGTCTCGAGGTAGGAAACCTGCGAAGGGTGCAAGTTTTTATTCCTATATACTTCAACACTCTTTTTAATTCGTGTTTCACGAAGTATTAAGCCACCTGCATCTTTCTCATTGAACTATTCAATCTCAGTACGAAAATATCTGACCAATATTGGGTACATAAAGCTAGTTCTAGCCAAGATCTTAACGTTTACGTAAATTTTTCATAATAACAAAGGGATGGGATGGGACATGTTGGCGACTACACTTTATGAAATTAATTACTTTAATTGTCACAAAAAAGACGGGACATATTGAAAAGTGAAAACTTCGTTCAATGAACAGACAGCCTAGGAACTAGTGGAAAGAAAAATATATTTACTTTCAAAGAATCCGAACATAAAATACATTTTAATTCTCCAGAATCTTGTTCCACAAAGTATTGCAATACATCTTGCTTCGATTTTGTTGTAGTTTTCTTCACATTCTTTTGATGTTCACCTGGTTCATCGTTAGTGGTTGCACCACTAGCAAATGAACGATTAAGTTCAACACCTGTTTCTTTATCCTGATCATTAATTTCGTGTGCATTAGAATTATTTAAACCTGATTGTTCTGTTGTTGTTCGATCATGATCGTCATGCATATCATCATCTGTACTATCTAATTGATCAACAGTTGTTGCTAATCTTCTGGATTTGGACATCGGACGAATAATGGGCTTTTTCTTTCTTGAATTGGATTGCTTTGTTGGTTTGATAACGTGTTTTGTTGTTGTTGATGTTAGTTTATCTTTTTTTGTTCGAGTTTCTGAAGATGAATCCATAGCAGTATTTGCATTCGCAGACACCATTTTTTTGTGAGCATTTCGACGGAACGATGGACGTGATATAGATTCCGATGGTAATTCATCATCCTCCATTTTTCATAAATAACAATTTAACAAAGATCAATTTGAATATTCAATTTTTATTTCAATCATGGTACATTATAATAAGGAGTATTTGTTTGTTTCCACGCAAGAAAGTTGTTAATGAATCAACATAACATAGACCTCCATCCAATGAATCACCAGATCATGTTATTCTTTGACAGTGGCGGATACAGAAAATCAGTGAAGGATGGCGATCATATCATACTCAAAAACCAGTTTTTGGAACCTATCCAAGGCAACTCACCCTCTTCTTTTCGTTTCTATTACGAAAAAATGGAAAAAATCTTGTGAGTGGATGACAGTCACCGCATCGCGTACTACTAACTTCGCCATTGCTCTTTGACCAGATCGGATTAACAACTATTACTTACTCATTGAGGACATAATTTCTTTCATTTTATTGCAAATTACTATGTTCGCAAAACAGGTTTCGT